TTTTCTTCTTTATATTATTGATTCTATTTACTTCTGAAGTTTATATATAATTATATATAACTCGACTTGCTAAAAATCCACTTTCTTTTCCAGTTTGTATTTCCCTGATCATTTTCCACATTTTTTTTTCTTTAAGGCTGATTTTGAATCAACTAAACACAAAGGGGCTCCTTGCTTCAAATGTTTGTTCCCTCTTTCCTCGTCTTTCCCCCTCTTATCCTCCTCACCCCATCAGTGCCAGTTTCTCCCTCTTTCCCTCTTTGCAGAAACATAAATCAGTCAAATGATCTTTCATCTCAGCAGAGTTTGTTTTCAAACTGATATCATCTTTTAGAATTATTCAGAAAGGAAGAGATTTTTTGTTTTGTTTTGTTGCTGAGTCTTTTTTTTTGATGATGATGATAAAGGTTCCATAGGAAATAATTTTCATGAAAGAAATAAATCCCTAGCCAGGTGGTAGAAGTGCATGCCTTTAATCCCAGCACTTGGGGGGCAGAGGCAGGTCTATGAGTTTGAAGCCAGCCTGGTCTACAGAGTGAATTCTAGAGAGCCAGGACTGTTACAGAGAAACTATATCTCGAAAAACAAAACAAAAACAAAATAAAACAAAAACCTTAAAAAAAAAGAAGAAAGAAAAGAAAAAGAAAAAATCCCATTTTAAAAATCATTTTTGTGATGTTGCTAAGACAGCAAAGTCAGCTCATGGATGTCTATCCCAGTTGGCTCACTGAAGGAGGACAGGGTCCTCTTCTTAATAGCCACTCCATCAACTGTGATTATGTGCCTTCTCTGATACCCAATAGCAAGGGTTTGCTGACTCAGATGGAGAGTTTCTGTGCTGTTATCATCTCCTACATACAATTGTAAATGAGTTCACATTTTAGAAAGTCTACTTTTGTCTGAACTTCTCTTTTGTCTTTTCTGAAGTTAAAAGCAGAAACCTCCTAAGTTATAGTTGTGAAGTTTCTAATGTTGGCTTCATTGCCTGTACTCGACACAAGCTTACACCAAACCAAACCAAGATGACTTTTTCCTCAGATACCCCCCACATGGATTCTGACCTCTCTTGGATGGAGGTCCTGGAACTCAATGAGGAGGCAGAAATGAACTGGATTCTTCCTAATTTCTGTCTACCATTTCTTCCGCCATAGTCTACTTCTGCTCCTACTGTGTGGCACCATTATTTTTTCTTTAGGATCCTAAACAACTAAAGGGGGGTTGAGTTTGAAGGCCAGATGATCTCAAGACATAATCTATGTCTGTACTTCCTCCAGCTTTGCTATAAGGTTAGGTGAGAGTCAGGGCATCCAGGTAATTTCAACATAGAAGAAAATGTTTCAATAGATGATTTCCTGAGCAGATAACACAAGGAGTCTGCAAGGTCACAGTTAGACAATGCTTTAATCGACTCTGCCCAGGTGTGGAGGTAAAAAAGAAAAAAAAATAATGGTGTTGCATCAAGATGTGGTGGCATCCATTGCTGTGTTTGCTCCTTTTATCCCCAAATCATCCCTTGTTGGGCTGCCAAGTCCAGAAGTACCGGATATGTAGATACGAAACCAGAGAGCCAACCACAGGCACTGTGGAGAATGATTTTAATATGGAACCTCCCCCACCCATGCAATGGGGCAGCCACAACAAAGGGTCTGTGAACAATGCCAATTGTGCTGACTTCTTAGCCCACAGATATGTGGTCCCTCAGATGCATGTCAACAAAGGGATGAATTGAACTTGGTATTGGCAAACAAGCCTGCATTGTCTTCCCTCTTCCAAAAATATTCTCCAAACTGTCCAAAGTTCTAAGCACTAGGGTATAAACCCTGCATGGCAAGTCAGTAGATAAATACCAATCCCCACAACATCTAGACTTACCCAGTCTTTGATCTGAACATTACCCAAACAGGCAACATTTAAACCTTTAACACAAATAATTTTCATCCAACAAAGATCTTGCCAGCAAGGGGAGTCTAGAGGTCTGCTCTGGGAGGCGTGTGGAATGTCTGACAGATTACTCAGCTGAGTGCCACAAGAGTGGGCCAATTTTCTTTTTCCTTCCTTACCATTTAGCTGATGTAATTACACACGTGTGATGACAGTCTGTTATTTACCATGAGATAATAGGGTGGCCCAAGCAACAGGGGCACAGTGACTGCAAGTGCACATATCGCTGAGTTTAATGGATACATAACCTTGGAAATTATAAAGGGTCAGAATTGCATGATAAGATTACTTATCTCAGGTTTGGACATCCAAGAGTAGCAGGGCCACAGGGTACTTTGCCTTTCCAATCTGTTTTGGAGGAAAACACTGTAGTCCTGGAGAAATGCACTAAGAATGTTCCTTATACTTTTATTTTTTTCTTTATGGGGTACAGGGTTTCCAACTCTGGGCACTGTACTCCCAAGCAGTATTCCTGGTCCTCCTTATTTTGAGACAAGGAGCTAGGTGGTAGTTGTGCATGTCTTTAATCCCAGCACTTGGGAGGCAGACACAAGCAGATCTCTATGAGTTCTAGGCCAGCCTGGTCTACAGAGGGAGTTCTAGGATGTGACAAGTCACTGAGTGTCAACATGCCAAAGGACATTGTACATTGGGCTGAGAGATAAAGAAAAGCTTTGTCTTGTCCATTTCTCTGCTTTGAAAAAACCTCTTCCTCTGCTGTCTTTTGGTGTCATCAGTGACACTATACTTTTGTGAACCACACAACATGTTGAACATTGGTGTGGCAGGCATGGCTCTACACATGACAATATAATAAGCTCTTTGAATTAGATCCTTGCAAGATTTTAACCACAACTCAAGATCTATGTATTTACTGTATTTACTTATTTGTGGCTAGGGCTGGACAGCTTTAATTCTGTTACCTCTGCTCTGAGGATTTCAGGCCCCATGACCTCAAATAAAAGAGTAGTAGGCATGGACAAGCAAAAGGGAGAGCAGGGGGCAAGTGATCCCCTCCTGTTTCTGCCTGTACTGAACCTGCCCTTTCTGTGGCTGCATAGCATGCTGCCAGCTTTTGGGAGAGACAATGGCTTTGCCAGCAGCTAGGCTCCATCTCTGATTTTCTTTGTTGAGTGCAGACAGGAAACAACAGGTCAGCTCTGTTTGAAGGATCTTGGAGTACAACTCATTGTGTGATTACACTGAATGCCTTCATGTCAGTGTTCTTCAAAATGTCACATGGCCCCTGGAAAGGCTCATAGTTTCATTGGTCATGGCCAACACTTTAGTAAGCAAGTAGACATAGCCTTAGCCTCAGTATGCACTGTACAGATGCACAAAAGGGCCCAGGGCCAAGGCCCCAAAGAAAGTCTAGCCTGTCTAATATCCATTGTTGCCATCTGTTTCTGGTTCATCCAATGGTAAGCTGCTTTTCTATGCTCTGCCTACTCAGAGGAGGGTGGAGACAGCACAGTATTGTGGAGGTTTTCCAGGCTACATGGAGGGACTGTATGTGTGGTTCCAGAGTTCCTAGCAGTGAGAATTTTCTTTTCTTACATCATTTTTACTTTCTGTTGTGACACAATGCTCTTGGACACCGAGTGACTTGGAAACACAGGAGCTGCAGTGATGGCTGCTGCTGGTCTTTATGACTTCTTGTCTCTATCTTTATGGTTTTTGCCTCAGCCCCTGGTTCTTCTTCCCCTGCAAACACACGTGCATGTGCACATACAGGCACCTATACACGGTTTCCCATGTAAGACCAAGAACTAGTCAGGACTGTCACATCAAATTACACAAAGTATGACTATATAAAACATACAGGTGATCAGAAGGACAATGCACCTTCAAGTCCTAGGTCTTGTCCCTCATGTTTGCTGTCCTCACTAATCCCGGCAATGGTTTGCATTTATACACCCTGTGCTACTTTTCAAATCATAAATCATAGAGTTACTGGTTCCATGTAAAAACCATAAATACCATTCATTTATTATATCAAATGTTGTCTGATTCCCATATGCATCCATGCCACTGAGCTAAAGGTAATGGGTTGGGTGACTAGAGAGAGAGAGGGACAGAGAGAGAGAGAGAGAGAGAGAGAGAGAGAGAAGAAAGGTTTACTACTTCTTGTGCCACTAATCAGGCATATGATCTTGGATACATCAGTGAACTTCTCTGACTAAATGTCTACAGTTGTCTCTTGTTCTCAGAAGCTAAGAATTACATTTGATGATAATGTGTGAAGGATAACTTGCATGAACGGCAGGCATGATTCCCAGAAAGATGCTCTAGCTGTGACAACACAATCAAAGCAAAGAGTGTAAAAGGATTAAGTGAGATGACATCCACATAACATGAAGAGAAAGCATCCTTGGGCCACCCCAGGCAAATGATTGAATCTTTGAGTGTTTCTGTTTCCTCGTTTCTTTTCAAATGGGGATTATTTGGAATTCTTACTGTTTGGGTAATAATTTCTCAGTTTTTCAAAGTCATCTCATTTGCATGAATATTTAACTCTATGTGGGAGGCCTGTGGAAAGGTCAATATATGCTAATTTGCCTAAGTCCTTGGGTAGTTTGCTGCCCTGTGAACAGCCATCAGGGTCCAAGTCGATTTGGATCAACCTTCACATTGATCTTTTGGGATCTTTTCAACACTAGGACAGCAAAGTCTTAGGTACTATATAATCATGGCCTTTCAAAATGTCTTTGTTTATCCATAAGAATCCCATTGTAAACACAAAATGAGCTGGACTTACCTTAAGAAAAAGAAAAGAGAAATATATCACTGCATTTCTTGTAGTGGGCACAATAAACCCTTAGAGGCATTGTGTGTGACAAGGAGACAGAGGGTGTTCTTGACACATTGAGGTAGCACATGGCATAAGTGGCTGCTTCTTCCATCGAGCTTGTCTCTAACCCTGCTGGATGAACTCTAGTATGAAACAGCAATTTCTTTATTCCTCTTGCCAATAGAATTTTGCAGGGTTCGTGCTGTATTGTGCATTGAAAACCTTCATTAGCAATGCAAGCCCTTCAGAAGGTAATGAATGACTCATACAAGATCTAGAAATAGCACTGTGGAAAATTGCTTTTATGTAATCTTTCTCCGAGTGCCATTCTGTGAATACTTATCATCCCAGCAGAAACAAGTGGGAAAGATCACATCTTGTGGGGACTCTAGGGACACGCTGTGGCTCAGAGTCACGCCACTGCCTCACAGGCCTCTAGAAACCACTAGAAACTGGAGAGCATTTTCAGCACAACAGGGAAGTTAGTAAGTGCAGGACCAATCTGTGAAGTGAGGTCCATCTCTGGTTTCAGTATGGATGGGCCGTTAGCTCATGGGCTCCAAGCAGGAGGTACTTTTTGTGGTTTTTTTTTTTTTTTTTTGTCATTTCTAGTTTTGGTTCAAAATTAAATCTTAAATGTTTCTAAGTTGTGGTAAAGTATACTTAACATAAAGTTACCCAGTTCAGAGAGGAAAAGTATACATACATTATTGTGAGACTATCACTACCATCCAACTATCCATCTCCTGATCTTTGGTCTTCCATTCTTCCTAACTGAAAACTCTATACTTATTAACCAGTAACTCCCCTCCCACTTTCAGTCCCCTAGGAACTACCATTCTACTTTCTGTTTGTTGGATTTTGACTCTTCCTGGCATCTCAGGTAAGTGAAGTCATCTAATATTTGTCCTTTTGTGATTAGCTTGCTTTACTTTGAAAACCACATCCAAGGTTCAACCATCTTATAGCGTGTGTCAGAACTGAATGCTGTTCTAAGGGTGTATATGTGTATCACATATGGTTCATTCATTCATTTCCATGGACACTTGAGATGCTCCTATCTTTTAGATATTTATGAAAAATGATGCTGGGAAGATGAATGTAATGCCCTTTTAATTGTTTTTCCATTTTTGTAGGTGTATGGCATTATTGTGCATGCCTGTCACCTACCTCTGGGGTGGAAATAGGCAGATCCTGAGAGTTCTCTGACCAGCCAGATTATCCCATACTGGTGAGCTTCTAGTTTACTGAAAGTCCCTGTGTCAGACAATAAAGTGAAGAATAGTAAAGGAAGATTTCTGATGCCTTGCTCTGGCCAATGCATGCAATGGGCATATGTGCATTGACACACTATGTGCTGATCTGATCTGTCTCTCTCTTTAACACACACACACACACACACACACACACACACACACACACACACACACACACCTGTGGCCAGGCTCAGTGCTTCTGGGAAATATTTAAAGAGACCATGCATAGGAAACACACCAGCTGTCCCCTCCATTGCTGGATGAGTTGCTGCCACACCATTCTGCTCCCCTTGCCTGTGTATGGTCCACTAACAATGTGAGTGGAAGTATGAGAGACATTTGTATGGTCTTAGAGAATTCTGGGTATGGAGCTGTTCTGAGGTTGTGAGGAGGAATACCTTTCTTTTAGTTTTCTTGATTCAGTTGCCCCTTGGGAGCGAAATCAGACACTAGAACTTGACATGTGCTTCCTATAAGGTCCCCAGAGGTGAGCCCCAGTGATACTGTGTACAACCCTTCTGGCTGTGAAGAACTGTGGGAATGGGCCTAAAAGTGATAATTTCAGCCAAGAATGGTGACTTTATGTGTTTGAAGTTGCTGACATGGTCTTCCCTTGTTGTCACAGATCCAGCTAACACTCTAAAAATCTGACTCCTGTTCCACATTGCCACTGTCCCTGAGCAATGACCAAAGCATGCTAGATAATGATTACTCTTGGAACGATTAGCATCCTATGTACTTGGGTTTTAAAAAAGTCTTATGTAACTGGTGTTCTACTTTTTCCTAGAATCTTTGCCTCTAAGGACTCGGTATTGCAAAGTAAAGAAGAAAAGGGATCCAAAATATAATGGAACATTGCAATATTTGATTAGCACCCCTAGCCAACTGATAAACGCATATTCCATGCTCTGGAATCCTACAGGAGCACACCCAAATGCTTTCAGGGGCCCTTTGCAACATAGTTGTTGACCATGTGGGTCTGAATTTCAAGAGGACACATTAGTTAGCAACAGGGGGGTGGTGTGTGGTCAGTGATGGGGCTTGGCCTCATGACAACTTGGAAGGCTTGCCACTGATTTACAAAGAACAGCAACCCGTGCTCTGAACAGAGAGGGGGTGGGAGGACAGAACTCTCTTCAGAACACTAATGAGAATAAGATGAAACCACTTCAAAAAGAGGCCCAGTCAGTGGTAGAGGAGGGTGGATGTACATGTGGCTGGCTGATGGCTGACTGCCCCACAGGGTCATGCCTCATATCTAGAGCAGGGATCTGTGGGGGGATCACTTTGAGTGTCCAGGCAGCTGTCATATCAACCTGCGTGCAAACACAAATGTGTTTTTGTTTAGTTGTCCAGGTTTCTCAACATTTTGATCTCTGGCTCCCTTAGGCTTGAGCGGCCACAGAAGAGGTTGACTTTTATGTATTGGATGTGAGATACAAGCAAGAAGAGTAGAAATTTCCTTTAGCAATTTGCAAATCTGCAGAAAGAAGGTGTCTTTAGGAATAGCGTGGGGCCAAAGGAGCTAACCTTGGCTGTGTCTCAATGTGAGCAATTTGAAGTGATGATATATTACTGTAGCTGTCAGGCCTTTCTACTTCCTCATTTCACAATGGGGTAGAAGTGAGGTGGAGGCCACTGGGTTAAATGGCCTTACTCATGATCCAGAGAACTTAGGAGATTTTGCAAAGCCACTGAAGTAGATTGCACTATGCTGTATTTTCTGTATAAAGACTTTTTCCACCTCTGAAGAGGTTTGCTGATTTTTATCACTTTTCCAGGAATTGTCAGTGGCTGCCCAAATATCAAGAGCTCCTGGATTAAATTGATAAACATGCCTGCCTCTCACAAGCCGACTCTGTGTGGCTGGGTAATTCTGATGTGTTCTGAGGGGTAAGCTGTGCTGATGTTTGCCTAACTCTGTGCTGTTTTCACTGTAACGTGAGGACTGTGACAGGTATGTGAACTTCCTGGCCTCATTGTCTGAAGCAGTTGGCCTCTCTTGAGCAAAACAACTGAGAAATAGGAAATATGAGTCTTGAGCCTCTTTAGCATCTGCCAGTCCTGACTCCTTCTGGTTATCCACCCCTGCAGGATCTCAGCCAGCAAGGTTGTAAGGCCCAAGTAAGCTTTTTGCTCATAGTTTGTCACTCATAGGGCCTTTAAACTATGTTTGAGTGTGTGCCTGCACGTGTGCATGCATGAGTGTGCACATGCCAATGCAAACGTGTAGAGGTCAGAGAACAACATTGGAGAGTCAGTTTTCTCCACTATGGGATCCGGGGAGTGAATGAAACTTGTCTGACTCAGATGGCAAGAACTTTTCCCTACTGAGCCATCTTGCTGTCCCAGGGAACCACTTTTGGCTTCCACCATGACTCTAGACCTTTACTACAGAGTGCCCACTCTAATTAAGCAACTAGCTGATGCTGAGTGATCTCTGGGCAGATAAAGCCCTCTTTAGGGGGCAGTTGAGGAATATATCCCTTTTGCAGGGTTCGAGGGGACTAAGCTAGAGGTTTTGAGTCTTTTTAGCAAAGAGAATTTCTGTTGCAGATTTCCCACTGGCTGAACTTTCTGGGGACACCCACAGAAGTGGCTCATGGGACCATTCTTCCCACAAGCATTTTAAGAACAAAACATAATCAAATGATCCTCTGTTCAACATACACAAAATTCACTGTTTCAAAAATCACTTTCAGCGTGACTTTTGTTCCTTTAGGTTGCTTGTTCCAAGGATTTTGCTGGACCCAGCAAGGGAATTACTGAATATCCTGAGACCCATGTCTTCTGCCCTATGAGTGACCTTCTCAGCATGGCGCCATGCCTCAGGGGTGGTTAGAGACAGACAGGAGTCTTCTCAATAGGGGAAGTGTGTTGTGTATGTTGGGGTGCTGTGGGTGAGCAGTCTGCCTATATTTTCCACTTGTGTTTATTAGACATCACAGACAGCATGGTTTTCCTTCAATTGTAGGCCATCGTTTTTCTGAAGTGCCACCCAGATTGACTGCCCAGTTCTGAGGTGCAGGGTGAAGCAAGCTAACAGAGGATTGGCACCATGCTGTTAAAGGTTAGCTTGTGTCTGTTCTTTAAAAACTGGCTAAAGCCCGAGTTGAGTAATGTAATAGCAAATCCTTCTTATGTTCTCCCCTAGACACTTCTTTACTTTCAAAGAATAAAAATTTAATTCCAACTATTTGGAGTTCTGGCAGCTACGAAATCTCACCCACCATCATCTCCTTCTCCTCCTCCCTGCTCCTCTTCTCTTCCTCCTTCATTTGAAGTTTTTTTTTGTTTTTGTTTTTTGTTTTTGTTTTTTGCATCCAAAATGTAGGAAGTTTTCTTTAACTAAGTACTGACTTTGTGGCTACAAATTCACGTTGTCAACTTGCTATTCTTACTCTTATGTTCTATGCTCATGAAACTGACTTGACAGTTGTGATCATCGTGTACCCCAATGTTCTCCAAAGCTTAACCTTTTCCTTCCATTTCCCAATTCTCCTTTTCCCCTGCTCTTGCTATTTTCTCCAGAATAGGTGAAGAAAAAAAAAATCCAGGAAACATTTCTCTTCGCATCACGTTATCAAAGCCCTCTTGTGGGATGAGATTCAGCTCCTTCACAGTGGCCCTTTGAGAGCTAAAAATCTGGTGTTCAGCAATTACTTCTTTTTGAGAACTCCAAGTCCATCCAGGCTTGCAGCTTTTTAAACAATTGGCTCTTTTCTCTGGGTCCGTTTCTCCTCTCACTCCGCTCCCCACAGGGATGGAAGACAGAGCCTCTGTTTCTGTTGAAGGAGAACAACTGCCATTTATGGCCCAGCTGGAAGCAGAGGGGTGGACTGAGCCAGGCAGGCTTTCATTTCTCCTTCAGTTGGAATTGAGATATGGATTTGTTATATGTTTGTTTAGCCTTATTTCAGGCTTCCCTATACAAATCCTGGTGGGAGATAGAAAGCAAAGCTGCAACATGTGTGTTGAACTTGGAATAAGAAACTTTAATCCTTGAAAAATGGTATTGTGTAAATTCCAGACTGCATCGAATCAGGGGGAGATTCAGACAGTGGCAGGAACGTTTCACTTTCCCTTTTAATATTCAGTGTGCACAGACAGGCAGTAATGCGACCTTCTCAATGCATATTTCTCCTAAATTTCCTTCAGGCCCATATTTATTTTATTTGCTGAAACCCCAGTGGCTTATATGAAGTGCACCAGATGGTTTTCATCTGCAGACAGTGCACCTGACAGTCAGAGGCCAGGCAGGTTTCCTGTGGCCAGCTGTTCACTTGTGCCCTCAGCGTCAGTATATATTTTAACTGCATGCAGCATGTAAAAGGCTCCATTTATTGGACCCCTATGTCCTGGGTCCTCTGCTACAGGCATTAGCTTCATGAGCACATTGATGACTTCTGTGATCCTGTGAAGATCTCCATGCTTCCTCAGCACTTTATTGATGAGAAAACCAGGGATCCGAAAAGATAAAGAGTTCTCCAAGGTCACATAGATAGAAATCAGCAAAGCTAGGGTATGGGTATAAATCATTACTGTGTTATATGGATGTCACTTCTGCACTCGCCCTCCTGCTTCTGTTAGATAAATCCCTATAAGAATGATCTCGTCTTTGGGTACTTGGCATCTCACCCATGCCAGCTCAGCAGATAAGTCCTACAGAAGAATGAGCTCATCCTTGGAATTCTGGGTCCTACCTTGTGTCAACTTGATAAAAGACTCAGCCATTTTGATTTTCATAAAAGTATTTTTTCCTCTCCAAGAGTACCTCTGTGTGTGCTCATTCACACTTGTGTTTCAGTAGGTTTTACTAAGGATATGGGGAATCAGAGGGCAATTTCCATCTTTACACATCATATAAACTCAGTTGAAGTGATCTTCATTTCAGTAATCCATATCGTTTTGTCATGTTTGTTGTCCCGCTGTCTCCTGCTAAACCTGTGATCATGCTCTGCTTCCTGTAGATGTTTCCAGAAAGACAGTTTCCTAAGGGGAACTCCTAAGGTAGTTTCTTTTCAAATTCTGCCTCTGACTTTAGAGAAGGGAAGACTTGCCACTCATCCCTCCCTCCCTCCCTTCCTTCTCCCTCCTTCCCTCCCTCCCTCCCTTTTTTTTTCCCCCCCCCCTCCCTTTCTCCCCCTCCTCCCCCCCCCCCTCTCTCTTCCACCCACACTGTAGTTTCTTACACATAGGTTGAAGTCCATCCTGGCAATTTGGCTTATGTTGCAGCTTTATTGGAATTGTTTGACTCTGAACTTCAATTTGGTTCTGAGAAAACTCCCCTTTCTCTCCTCTTACTCTAAAGTATAACTGGAAAGAATTGAATTACTATTTTCCAATATCAACAAAAATATTTCTATTATATTTTCAGACCCCCCACCCTGCCCCGCAAGCTACCCATTGGAATGATTTATTTATCACATTTACTCCCTAGTTCTTCCACAAACTGATGAAAGATTCACAGCAGAGACATTACTTGCAGTAAGCCTTTCCCCTCACAGGACACAGGTAGGGGCTTGTGGTCTATAGACCCTGGCTCTGTGACCACTAGAGGAGGACAACTGACTGGGGTCCAGGGACTGTCTCTAGACTGTCTTCTTCCCCTCAGAATAGGAGTCACCCACTTTAGAACAAGTGAAAAGGAGGCAGGTGCTTTTAAAAAATAGAGAAGACTGTCTGTGAGAACAGAGGATTAAGTTGAAGCAGCCTGATAGAGCTGAAGTTTGGGGAGCAGGAAACTCTGTATGCACACATATTATCATCATTTCTGGAATTTTTCTTCTAATTATAAAACTGATGTATACAAAAATCATTTTAAAAATGTGTCAAAGCTATAAATAAATGTATACATAAATAAAGGTATAATTTCATCATCCAGAGAAATCCGCTAAAGTGTATTTATTTATAGGTAGTCTTTTGTTTCATTTTTTATTGTTGTGTGTGTCTATCATGCTCTTACTAACACACACACACACACACACACACACAAGAAATGACTATATACCTACCCTTTAACAGGCAAAGTTGAATAAAGTTGAATACATACGGTTTTCCTAACTGAGGGACCTCTGCATGGTCTTTATTTTTCACATCTTTGTTCCTTTCCAGTGAACCTGGCATTTGTTGGCTCAGCCCAGCCTTACTGTGCAACACTTGCATTCCTGCCCAGTCTCTCAAGATGATCCCTGACTCTTTAGTTGAGTCTCCATAACCCCTTCCTCTGGCACTCCACAGGTAGAAATATCAATTTCCACTTACTTTATACCTGGAAGAAGTGCTGGAGACCACTGTGGATTCTTCTTGAACTCTCCCTGTGCCTATGAGCTACCTCATTCCCACTTTCAGAAGCACAGCAGAGTAAAATCAGGCATGGCATGGGTTGTAATCTTTGAAGGCTGGCAGGGTAGGTTCAGATCCACTCTTTAGCCAAAGTTTTACCACCTATGAAACGGAACATTAAAAGTGGCTGTCCTTTACTCAGGACTTGCAGTATTTATATAGATAACCTCGGGAAAGTGCTCAGGGCAGTATGTGGTGAGAACTCACAACTATGTATTCAGTACTTCACCAGCTCAGGGTCCTACAATAAAGTCATATGAAGAGTTTGCAGAATGTGTCACTTCTAGCTTTCTGCAAATGGACACCAGGGATGAGCTGAAGATTGTATGATCTTCAGGGATTTTATGATCTAATCATGGCACCTGCTACTTGAGTAGTCCCTATATTCCACGATCTTCACAGAATCTGAATTTTCATTATAATCCTAGAAAGGGGCTATCATGACCTTGTCAGTTAAGGTATTCTCCAGAGGAAGATGGCTTAAATGATAGGAAAGCTTATTCTTTTTCATGGTAGAAAGAATAAAATCAGACAGTGTGCAGAGTTGCTTGGTGCAGCTGTCCAACATATCAAGTGCAATCCTGTGTCTATGCCTTCTATCTTGGGCAACAGCTCCATTCTAAGGACAGAGAAAGACTTCCATGGTAGCTCCAGAATTGCAGCCATGTAGGGCAATATCTTGGTGGGCTCATCTTGTCTGTATCTGTGTCACAGAAGTCAGAGGATTTCTCCAAATATTTGCAGCCTGTTTCTGAATAAGTCATTGTAAAAGTACACAGAATGACTCTTAGGTTTCTCAGATCCATCCCTATGGCTAAAAGTGCTAGTACCATGAGGTTTATTGCTGCAGTCCGTGTGTGTGTGTGTGTGTGTGTGTGTGTGTGTGTGTGTGTGTGTGTGTGTGTATCAGAAAAAACCCAAACAATTCTATCTTGCTAAGAAGGCAAAAAGGTAGCAATTTTGGCACTCCATAGCCTCTAGTTCATGGGCTAACTCAGATGAGTAAATAGGCAACAAAAAGTTTAATCATCTCATGCCCCATGGTTAGCAAGGGGTGGAGAACAAGCCCAAATGTATCTGACTCCTGTGATGACAAATTTCTCAGACAGGTAAGAATAGAATGCCCTGTGCCCTCCCCAATATGCAAACTTCAAGAGTCCATGGCAAGGGAGATTCTCTGAGGAGATTACAAAAGTTTTCAGAGCCGCTGAAGCTTAACGCTTTGCAATGTGACATGCTGAGAACATTGTGTGCAGCCAGTGTGATCTGGCCCAGAGCCGAAACTGTGGTGGCACCTCTAGAGAAGCAGTGGGGGTGAAAGGCACACCACTCTACACCTGGGTTGTGTAATGCACACAGAGATGAACTCTCTTGGAAGAATAGGGAAGGAGGAATTACTGGCCAGACATGCATCTGTGAGGACACCAACAGCAGCTCTCACTTTCTTCAAATGCTTACTTACCCATTTATCATGAGATCAGACTAGGAGTGTGTTCTTTGTTCAGACACATGGATGGGGAGTCAGAGTGTAGTCTGAGGTTCTGAGCTAGAATGCAGCTCTTTCCTACATTTGCTGATCACACTGCTCCCAAGACTGCTCTGTCAGCTGCCCTTTCCGCCTACCCATGGGGATTTTATCATGAAGTATGTGTTTTCTCTGGGCCACATCTTCAAAGACAGCCTGCAGGCCAACGGTGTTTAGGACTATGTGTTTGACTTCAGCCTTT